TTACTAATCTCTCTGTTATTTAGAAATACATTGGTTATTTAATTAATTTAAATTTTTAATAATTAAACCTCTTTAAAATAAATAAAGTAATATTATAATTAGAAAAAAAAAAGTGAATTCATTTTCTTAAAGGTATAGAAACCGTTTAAAGCGGCAAGAATTATGCAATAAAAGACTTCCTTAACTTCACAAAAAGGGACAAACATATGCAAAATCGGCCCTTGAACCAACATCATTAGTCATTACCACTATCAAAGAAGTAGAGGTAACCGCTAAGAAATAATATTATAAAGATTAAATTACGTGGTCACTGAAAATTTTGGATTGGGTCCTCCAAACGAAATAATTACAGTGATGGTCACTATGGTTTCACTTTTATTATTGATTGTATCCCTTGTCCTAACTCCATTAACTGTTGTTCCGTTAAGTCAAGGGCATTATTGTCCTTTTACTTTTTTTTCTTTTCTCCGACGCTGTCATGATCTCCTTTTTCTCCGGTAGCCTCCCTCTTCCTCAACACTAGCGAGCATAACATCCCCTCACCGTTCATCGTCCTTCTCCATCGACCACCAGAAACTCAAACAAACATGTCCACCATTGTGAGACTCCATCTCCACAGTTGAAGCCCTTCCCTACCCCCAAGAACAACCCTCGTCAGCCCATCTCCGGCCTCTTCCCTCTTCTCCGGTGAAGCCCCTGTCCTCTCCTTTTCCACCGTCACCTTCCCTTTTCATCATCTTCATCTACGTTTGGAAAATAGATATGAATTGGTTTTTAGATCGGGTTTTGAACTTATTTTCCATGGTTCTTCAACCTCTCTTCATGACAGTTCATCATCCAAGATTGCATTTGCAATTTTGCATAGATGAGTTTGACACTAGATCTAGAGAAGGTTGATTTGTGTAATATTTATATACCAAAAAAAGCATTCCTACAACACTTTATGTTCATTTACCTATATTTCTGATGTCACCACATCTTCTACTAAAGCATCGATATTTGTGTATTGAATGTTGATTAACCATTTCAAAAGATCATTGTGCTAAATGTGATCTAACCATGTTAAAGTATACTCTCTTATTCATGTCCAACAATGCCAACAAATTAAAATCGATAGAAATCTAGAATGGAACTTATTGCCAAGATAATATGCTTTGATATTGTATGATACTCTCTCATTGAATGTTGAAGTATAACAAACACAAATCAAAATGGTAGTCAAAGTAATCATAGACCAGACGGATACCACAAGGACGAAACAAACATAAGTCATGGATCATAAATCACAGTGATTTTACAAACAGGGATAACATCAAATACTTCTACTTCGTAAATAAGGGCTAAAGCCAACAACTTTTGCAGTAGAATCTTATATAAATCTAGGTTAAGAACAGTTGATATTAAAACCTTCATATGAGTTGTTATCTCAAATTATAGAAAATGTGCCAAAAATCTAAGTCTTTCTCGTGCCTCTCCATTCACTCAACCCATCTCAGGTGTTGTTAGTACTGCCCTCACCAGGACCTGATGCACATATTGACAAGAAAAAAAGTGTTAGGCTAAAGCCTAGTAAGCTCAAACAGTTTTCATCCCAAATAAATGAGCCCAAACAGTTTGCATCCCAAATAAATAATTAAAGTGGTAAGACCGAAAGGGTGCTATTAAAATTACAATTTTCCAAATGAAATTTATTTATCGTAGAAGCAACATCTTTCTCAAACCCCACCATTTCCATGATGAAAACTCCATATACAAAATACTCATTTGAACATGATACCAAGACTGATACATACTCAAAACATGAATACCTCAAAGTAGACATACACCGAAACATGGGAAAAGCTCCAGTATCCAAAACACCAAATTATGGATAAGACTCGATATCCAAAACGACAACTCATGGCTGACACTTCACAACCAAAATAACAGCGAAAAAAAAGGGTAAACTCAATACCCAAAACCAAAACTCATGGATAACACTCTATACCCAAAGCAACATCAATAACATAGGTAAATTAAATAATCAAAACAACACATTTCGGTGACGGATGAGACCTGTTTCCATTGACTATGACGAAACACAAAGTAAGCCGTAGATCAACGTTATCATGTAGCACCTCAAAGTTCAATTGACCTTAGTGCCTATTTCTCCGAGTTTCACCTCAAGGCTCATGTCCTTATTGTCTACCCTTCCGCGTAGCACCTCAAGGTACACGGGTCTTAGTGCCCACCCCTACAGATAACACCTTAAAACTCAATAATCTTTGTGCCTGCTCTATAGAGTTTCTTATCATTAGAATCTCACTCCCTTTGGTCTCTGACATCCTCAACCCCTTCATCATTGGATTGGTATTAACAGTTTTACAAAACTCATAATGTACAACTTTAACATGGTAAATAACTCCATATGTATTCATATTCATATACATAACACCATGTGTTTAAAACCCACGACACCAGGAATACCATACTATTAAGCACACATACACCAACAAGGATCAATACGATCAAACAACACCAAGACTCTACAGACGTCAAATACGACCGACTCATAGGCCTATGAATCCATTACAACTTCAACTTACATGACTTCAATTTGAATGATCAACGCACTCAAAGCATGTATTCTCAAATAATTTTGCCATGTACTCAAAACTTGTTCAATTATCACCATTGAAGCGTGGAAAAGAAACACATTTGAACCAATTTCGAACCAACAAAGCCTCTAACTTACTTGACTACTCCATGAAAGTCAACATAAGTCAATAAAAATATATTTACTTCATATCTATGAAACTTCAATTATCAAATAGGAATATATCCCAAAACTGCTATTTATTTGAACCAACATTCAAAATATCATACTCTAGTGAATTGTATCTCTAAATGTCTTAAAACCTTAAGCATGCATTCTCAAGGTTTTATGAAATCAAATGTACCAAGGATGCACATATACCAAATAATCACCAACATTTAATAAAATCACAACAAGTATATATGAAAACTTAAATAGACATTTTTGACATGTAAATTTCAAAAGGTACTTGAAACTCACCTTGCTAGATTAGTTTAAACCTAGATCCCAAAAGCCCAAACTCTAGCTTCCATTGATGAAGATTTAAGATCCGTAGGCGAGAACCTCTATAAATCTTCTAAAAGCAACAACCCAAGTCTGGAAGGTCGCCAAGAATACCATAAGATCAGATCTACATCCAACCTAAGCAAAACTCAAAATACCCAAATATGCTTACCTCTTCCAAATCTGGAGATCGACCTCCATGGTTATTTAATCTCTAAGATCTTCCCTCCATTTGTTCCAAAAACCTCTAAAATCGCCTTCCATGGAGCCAAAATCGCCCTAGATGAGAGGAAAGGGAAGAAATGAGAAGAACCCCAGAAAAAATCGGACTTCTAAAACATCTAGACCATTCCCGTGACCTAGAATGTAACTTAAGTCGCGTGGCTAATCGCCCGTTTCCTAAGGGTGCTCTCTAGTGAGTTGCGCAACCCTGACCGTGATCTAAGTTGCGCGCCATGTCACATGGACCTCTGTTTCGCACCCTTTCTTCGCTTTCACATCCGGTTTGATTCCCAACTTTTTAGTATGATAAGTATATAAAAACCTCGTTTCCTTACCATCTTGAATGCCAAATGGTCACAGAAAGACTCCAAAAGAAGGGTCTGAAATCTCGAGTATTACAATCGATAAAACGTCATATCTAAAAGTGTTGCAATAAGTTTATAGATTGTTTTTTGATGTCTTAACAAACTTCTTATAACATTTTAAGAATAAAGTGTTGTATTAATTATTTTATAAAAATAAGTGTCCTAGAACAAGAGTATTTATAGGACATTTATAGAAAAACATTCTACAAAGTAGCTAATACGACACTTTATTTTAAAAAAAATGTCATGAAAATCTTGTTAAGATGTCCAAAAACATCCAATAAACTTATTACAAAACACTTCTAGATAGAGCACGTTATTGTTTTGGTTTAGTCTTACAAGTCCTATAGAACAGTCTATTGTGACACTGAGATACTGTTAACGTCCTATAAACTCGATTTTGTTGTAATGTCTAGACGGTGATGTTACGTTTCGATATTTGTGGTTTGTTATACGTAGATTTGTTACGCATAGGTTTGATTATGTTGTAATATATTTAAAAACCCGAATTATATATTTTTATAACAAATAGATGAATATATGGATGATAGAAATAGGAGAATTGCAAACACGACATGATCCCATTTCCTACATTTATGGGTCTTGATTTCTGTGTATTTTGACGTCTCCATCGAATGATTGATACTTTTCTAACGGTATACACTTGATATATAAACCATAAGGATTACGTGTATGGTCATGGCCTTTCAAATTATGTGATTCCCTCGACGACAGGGTCGTTCCTTAGCATGTTAAATGTGAGATTTTGAACAGGGCTTCCGAAATTATGGGGCCCAAATTTACATGTGTTTAGGATCTTTTTTATCGACCTGTATAAAACTATAGCCGAATTTATTTAGGTTCAAACCCTTAGTTGTTTGGTTTTAAGTTCAAATCATTAATGGTTTAAGTTTAGGTTTAGTTTCAGATTGTTAATTGTTTTAGGTTTAGCCTATTTTTGTTCTTAACATATATTCTCTGTTATCTCATTTATGTAATGTAATCAAAAGTTTTGGATGTAGCAGGACTTCCAAAAAGATTGGAACGTCCCCGTCCCTCGAGTAATATTTGTAACACGTCTTATACTACTAAAAAAACATTTTTTTTCTATCGGATTTTATGTTGGAAAATTACTATGGATATTAAAACAATTGACTATCGTTGACCTCCGACACAAATCCGATATTGATTTTTGTAACCAAAGATTAATTTTCCGACGGATTTATGTGGATTATTTATTTTAAAAAATCTGTCACAAATCCACCACAAAATGGTAATTTTTTAAAAAGTTAATTAACATTAATGAAAATTAAGAATGGACTTGTGGAGGATTTTAATTAATTATTTTCTTAATCAAAATCCGCCAAAAATCTGCTACTAATTTTAATTAATTGAAATTATTCTTAAATTAAAAAAAATCAATATTTTTTACTTTCCTAAGAATTTCGGGTCCGCTGATAATCCATCACAAATTAAAGAATTGATTTTAAAATATTTTTTATTTAAAAAATTCAAATAGATAAAATTTTCGATGGATTTCTGACAAAACTCACCATATATATATATATATATATATATATATATATATATATATATAACGAAACATATATGGGTTTAATCAGTTAATATTTATTGGCTTTATGTATTCTCCTTGTTCCTTTTTGTTTAAACCTTTGTGTATTATAACTCATTCTTCCTGGCCAACTAATAAAATGAATGGTAGATTTTGATTATTTTTTAAATGAAAAATTCATAATTACATGAAAAGAAAATAATGTGTGAGAAAGAACATAAATGGCAATACTCAGTGATAACCCACCTATTGCCATCTATGTTCTTAATTAAAAAATCTGTCTCACATTATAGGTGAATGATCGTGTGAGAAAAAAAGTTAAGGTGAGAAGCGTAAGAAGGGGTCTGGACATTTGATCACCTTTAATCTCAAACTCACCTATGAATCGTGCTTGATACATGAATTATCCGGTGCATCTTATCCTAATGTGCATCCAAGGGTAGAGATCATTTTTTACGCTTCTCAACTTAACTCTCATTCTCACAGAAACCAGTCTTTTATATA